TATGTAAATCATTTGCAGATCATCCAGTAGATCAATTCTGTAGATCGTTTTTGTAAATCTTCTAGTAGATCAATTTTATGAAACATGTTGATCATTTACTGAGTCATATTTTCTTGTTATAATCATCCTGTAACAGTAATATAATATTTAAAATATTTTGAAGTTATATTATAATCTATATTACAGTTAATTTTCTCTAAATGCATTCTCTCAAGACCATAATAAAAATTTAAGAAAATATATACTTAAAAAGGATGTGTATTTAGAAAATGAAATTTATATAATCTTTATATACTTGGAATTGAGTAAATGTATGTGTATTTAGATAGTATACATTTAGAAAGAGTTGATTGTAACTTTATTTATTTTTTATCAATGAAATTTCAGTTTCTGTTTTTATAAATATCATCAGCCAATAAAATTTCAGAAACAATTAAGTTAAAATATTTGCTTTTAACTAGAAATTTTTATTCTAGTTTATGATATATAATTTTTAATTTGTTAAATTACTATATTTGTTTAACTGAATAGGATAGATTCAAAAATTTGCAGTTATTTTATTTTTAATATTCTAATTTTCTCAAATAACCAATTAAAATTTAATATATATTTTGACTAATAGAATAGGAACAGATATAGATTAAAAATGAATAAGACTATTATTTAATTATTTTTTAATAATAAAATAATAGCAAAATTTTTAAAAAAAATTGTTGATCTTATAGCATATTATTAATGTGTATATTATTACAATTAGATAAGATATTTAAATATTAACTCTTTTTAATTTACATAGTAATTTACTGTTAATTTCTGTTTTCTAAATTTATAATTTATATTGCTCAAAAATTTATGTGATTATTAAGATTTAAAAAAATTGTATTTTACAAAAATTTGTAATTATCACAAAAATTTACAAAGATTTATAATATTAAAATTTATGAAAATTTATAATATTACTAAGATTTACAAAGAATTATCATTAAGATTCACAAAGATTCATATTTAATAATATAAAAGTAAAAAAAGTTTATTAATAATAAAAAAAATAAGAAAATACAAAATTTATAAACTGAAAATATATAGATACTTATAATGTTTTGAGAATTATATTTTGCATACAGCCTATTGAATTTTAACTTTTCTATAAATTCTATGCTATTGTATTTATATATTTTAAAATATATTAATAAATAAACTAATTTAAATAAATAAACTATATTAAATTATCAAATATATTAAATATGTCAAATATATTAATTATATTAACTATATTAATAATGTTAACATTTTTAATATCATACGTAAGGTTGCAAAATAATATCTAAAATTTAGCTAGACGTCAAAATGGTAAAGGTAAAACTTAATTAAATTATAATTAAACTTATTAAAAATTTTGTGAAATTCAGAAAAGATAAAATTTTATAAAAATGTTAAAACTATATCAAATACTTAATAAAAATTAAAGGTTTAGACTTTATCTAAATTTAAATAGTTTAAATAATCATACATATATTGTAGATTAATTTATAGATCATTTGGTAATTCAATTCTATAAATCAATTATATAAATAGATCACTTTATAGATTCATTTAAAATAAATATATTATAAAATTTTAAGAAATTTATTAACTAATTCTTAATAAATTAAAAAGTATATTATTAATTATTTAGTATAATTTTTATTTAAAGCAATTTATGTTTTATATCCATATTTAATAATAATATTATTATTAATATGTATTTAAAAATTCATGAATTTAAAAAATCAATAGAATAAATTATATAAAAAGAAATAATTTAAAAGAAAAATTTTATATTTGGTAACCTCACAATAAAAATCAAAGCAAATTCAATTTTAAATTTTATGTTTAATTTAATAAATTATTATTTATTATATAAAAATTAAAGATTTTTAAAATCAGTTTATCAAACTAAAGTAACCATTTGCAAAAAATTTATTGAAAGTATTAGTTTTTTTTTAACATATATAATTATAATAAAATTTCAAAAAAATTTTTTTGGCTGAATTTCTACTTTTACTAAAAGATTCTTATTTATCTAATTTATTAAAATTAATTTTGACTTTTAATATTTAAGGTAAACATAAAACAAAATTTTTAGTATATATAAATATTCTTAGTAATAGACAATATATTTTTTTAGGAAATTTAATTACTTTATATTTTAATAATTTAGTTTTATAATAATAGTATAATAATAATAAAATTATTGATAAATATTATATCTTTTAATATATTTTAATATCAAAACATATTTTATAAAAATTTATAATATATATTTATATATTTTAATATATAGAAACTTATTAATAGAATAGGAGGAAATTTAAAAAAAATTAAATTTTGATTTTTTTTAGTATGATTAGGAGGTATAATAGAAAAGTAAAGACAAAAAATATCAATGAATAATCAATAAATAAATAATAAAAATTAAAAAAAAAAGAATTTACTACTAAAAATATAATAAAATTAATAACAAAATTAAGTTTAAATTTAACATTAACTTATAAAAAATTTTTTTTTAGATTTTCTTCTTTTTTATTGATAAACTCCATATAAATTAGTTTTTTTTAATTAACTAATTTACTCAATTTCATTATAGAACAAATAATCTATTAAAGTAGTTAATCAAAAGAAAAATAAAGGTGTCTATCTAAAGCAGTATATCTAACATTTAATATTAATATTTTAGGTTATCCTCCTCTTTTCTATATATATAATTATGAAAATAACAATGATATATATATAAACAATAAGGGATAAAAAAAATGAAATATTAAAATGGCGTGGTATATAAAAATATAATAAAAAGTATAAATAAAAGTATTATATTTAAGAATAAAAAAATATATAATATATAAAATGAACCTTACTTTTGTTTGTTGACGACAAGCAATTAAACCAACTTTCTTGATACTTTTTCAGTAACTATAACATGGTAAGAGTGCGGAAGTGATGAAGAAACATAATAAGAAACATCTCTCTGTATCTGTTATTCCATAATTTTGGTATTGGATGCAAGATGTTGAAACGGTTACAGTCACGTTTGTGTTAAGCATCTCGAAGTGAAGGCTTTGCAATGCTAACATTAATAGATTAATTAGAATCAACTCAATAAATTTCAAGACAAATAGAAAAAAAATGTTATACCAGGTGATGGATTAATTATTGTGTCTTCATTTTCAGCCATCCAAATAGCCATTCTTCAGAAATACCAATACCTTCGTTCTGGAATACGTAATTTGAATTACTTGAAAGAACCGGAATTTTCCAGGGCTTCACCGGTCTTTACATAATGAAGCTACTCAAGCAGCTGATGATATTGAAATGACAGAGTTTGATTATGAGGAATCGGATTCAGCATTGAGAAATAATGGGATAAAGAAAAGGATTATAAAGAAACTAAACAACGAAAAGTAATTAATAAATAAATCAGATAGAATTCGAAACTTACTACCACAATAAATTGGATCATAAGCAATTTTAACATTGTAAAATTTTATTTATCGGAAAGTGACATCCATGGATAATATTATGTTAGTGAAAAATGATGCCACCTAACCCATATGATAAAGAACAGCATCAATACATTAATGAAAATAAAGGAAAATATCAAAGATTTTTTTTATATTTACCATTCGAAGTTCGAATACTTTATCTTGTAAAAAACTTGAAATTCCAATGCTATCTAATCCAATGATCACAGCATTTATTGCAGCACAATACCAAACGGAATCTAGCACATTGTCACTCCCGTTAATATCAATCCCATATCTAAACAAGATTTTTTTGGATAGCTGTATAATTTCATGTAGTACAGCAACAAATAGGTAAATATTTTAACGATCCGTGGGTAGCAGGATCTGCATCAAATTGATAGTTTTCAACAATCCAATTCCGTGATTTTGTCCATGCTAAAGCATCAGGACTCAGGTTTAGAGATAATCATTAATAAGATCGTGATGAAACAAGTTAACTTTTTCAATTTATGGTGCGATCCTCTTTAAATAAAATTTGATTTTTTTCATATCATCCGTCTTTTTAAGTTCATAACTTAATATGTGCATCACCTATACAGTTGAATTTTCCACCTTACTAGCAAATATAAGATCCACGAAAGCTACAGAAATCCCATAATTCATCGCAGAACTAAATCTTATTTCTATTTTTTTTGGATATCAGCAGTAATTATTGAACAAGTCTTGAATCAATAGTTAACATAATGATGCACGCTTGAATTTCCAATATCATAAATAATTGAAAGAGTTTAATAAGGGAAAAATATGTTTGTATTGTTTTGATACAACATTTCTACAACTTGATTGTCTATGAAAGTTCAGCATCATCATTATACAAAAGCCATTTTGATAATGTTTCAATGAAAGAATATGTTACACTATATCCACTACCCAAGCACGTATAACAAATTTTACGGTCTGTGTAAGATTTTGATGCAGAATTAGCATATGTATATATAATCTCAGCAAAGATTTCATTAAACATTATACGACCTTTTCAATGAGATAGAATATTAACATCATCATCATTTCTGATTATGACCTGAACAAGGACGAGGAACATTTGAATTTGGTTTTCCAAAGAGTTGTAATTTTCTGCATTAATTGAATTTTTTCCATAGCAATTTACTGTCTACGACCAATATTTACGGTTTTAAAACAAACGATATTTAATTAATATCATTGAAGTAAATACAAAATAGAATTTTAATGAATATAAAATACCTTAAATCATTTATACCCTTATACGAATCCTTATTCCAAGCTACGATCGAATCTTTTCTGCAGGCTCTGATATCAAAATTTATAATAGCGTTATTAGGTTGATGAGATCCTGCAGTAATTGCGCTATTGCTTGACTTGCTAACAACAGTTGTCCAAGCAGTATTCTTAGAAATAGCTATAATTTAATAAAGTATGTTAAAGAATTTATTATAATTCATATTTTATAAAAATTTAATGCTTACCTAATGTGGCTAATGTATATGCTTAGCGTTTTCCCATATTATAATTAAATCCAAGTAAAGATGATTGCTGCAATTCACGTATCCTATTACGCCTTTTAATTGCTTCTTCCTCTTCCTCTTCTGAATTTCTCTAAGCGTTTTTTTTAGGAGCAGAATTGTTAAACTGCCATGCTAGTATTCTATCTACAACAGGAGAAGTAGAAAGAGAAGACGAACTAACAGCTTACGTTCAGCGGTTTTACGAGCTTCCATTTCTTGAATTTCGCGTAGTGAAGAAGTTTTGAGTGTCAACTTTTGCTCATGGAATTGATGGAGTGACAGGACTATTATTTCCCAATGATAATCCATTATTCTTTGGTTGAGGTGTTTTGACAATAGTTTGATTAGAAGTTTGTTGAGTAATGGAAACCAATTTTTTTGTTTTCTTGCTTTTTTTGCGTTCGTTATGAGGTTTTAAATGATACGATTCTTCCTTCTGAATAAAATGCGGAGACATTTCATTGTTAATGAATGTTCTTTGAAGGTGTTTCAACTTTTATTATCTTATTTTTGAAGATATCTCATTTCTGAGGAGAGATTTTGTCAGAATTTTACGGTCAATGGACGGATATTTATTATTTTCATCCATGATTTCATATTATCTCATTATGTCGACTAGAAATCTGATCATATATGATGATTGTTGTAATCCAATATTGCTTTCTTTTCTCATACTGAAATATCTGATCTCATCTGATTGTGGAAAACGCGAAGTAGTAGATCCGATACTAGGTATTCCCAATGATAGGGGAGTTAGTTGTTCAGCAGACATTGTCAGCAAACCTGCAGATCTCATTAAGGCGTAGGATTAGGCGAATTTGTAATAGGAGCAGATACAGACCCATATATCCCTATATAACTTGTTGTTGCCTAATAAAAGTGTATGGATAAACATGTTGCTTTTATTGTAATTGTCTGTTGAAGCATCATATATTTTTTGGTGCTCAATCTGGGAAGATAGTGCTCGTTATAATATAAATTTGAGGTGGTGAATATTGAAGGAATCAACATTTTTGTTAAATAGTAGCTTGCACACGAGAAAATAAATTTTCGTTGTTAGACGTGAATTGTTCCCATGCATTATTTGTTGAGTTCAAATCTCATCCACTAGAAATGTTATTTCGTTCAAAATGGCTACCAAACTGATACCTATCAAATGGTGTATTATGAACTACCAAAAGAATTAAATTGTTATTGATTATTATCCCAAACAACTGTGCAGTACTGGGCGAATTAGAAACAACCCAAGATCTTTGGAATAGAGCATTAATCAAACGTGATGAATTATTAGGCATTTGAACTAGGTATTAGAGCAGAAAAAGATATTTCATCATCACCTGTCTTTCGTATCAAACACCTAAGGTTCAACGTAGTATCATCAACCCTTTTAACTCACACTTATAACATTCATTCATTTCCTAACTACAAAATGACCGTAAATGAATTTATTAAAAATGAACATTACTCTGTAAAATGTCAAACATCAGCTAAAAATGTTTAAAATTTTTAAAAACCTTGAATATTACGGTACAACCATTTATATTGCTTGGTCATCACGCTTCTTGGTTCAACATTTATTCCTGTACCAGAAAATGACTTGCAACCCCAGAATTGCTTTCACCAAAAACATTACAAGTGCCAATATTTGAATGTGCGGAATAGATTTACTAGTTTTGCCTGTTGGGGAAAATGATGTCCTAAATTTGAATAAGCGAACGCTTCCTTCAAAATATCATCATCTTGGTCTAGGTCAAAATGATAGGTAATTATAATGATTGGTGACGTTGTAGCAATTGCTGTTTACGATGGTGATGCTATAATATTTTTTTTGTAACAGATGTAATTGCAACTGCAACTGCTTCTATTAATGATCTTGTATTTGTAACTAAGTTGCTTTTCTTGTTTATATGTTCCTTATCCTTATCTAGATGAAGTTGCAATTGGTTGCAATATTAAATTTTGTTGTTCCAACGTTAATTCATTTTCTAATTCAAGATCATAATCATTATCATGTTCACCTAATTTTTTTTTTTTCGTCATTAGATTCGCAATGATGTCTTCATGTTTTTGTTGCGAATGTTGAAACGACGATCGTTCTTCTGAGTTTCTATTTGGTTCTGTAATGATCCTTTAATTTCTTGATTTGGGTGACTCTGCGAACCTTGCTAATCTTGTAAAATTTTATTTTTTCGAAGTTGACATTCTTATTACGTTTTTTACTTAACCATCAAAGTGATGATTGCAAATCTTTTGTAAACTCCTCTCTCGTGGATTCTTCAATGTTATTTCATAGATTATTGTACTTTCATTTTATTCTGATTTGGACATCATAATTTTATATTAGGATGATTCACAATCGCAAATTGCTGGCAATGTTTTTTCCGTTTCATGATGGAACTGCTAAGTTTCTTGTTATATTATCCAAGGTTTTGGCTCTTTCGATATATCTCTCTAAATAATTAATCATTATACGTAAATATGGAATGGAATTTTGAGACTGTAATTCATTCATATTTATCGCATTTAACCATCTTTGCAAAGCATTTATCATCAAAGTTTCGTCTACAAATGAAGTAGTTTCTTTTATAAAGGTCGAATTGTATATGAAATTCCTCCTCTGTAAATAAAAATAATAATAAAATGACTAGTATAATAGAACTTTGAAAATAATAATTTTTGACTAGGAATTTATTGCAAAAATCCCCAAAATTCTTATTAGCTGCCCGCAACTACTCAATTTCTTCAGCCGAGTTAAGATCGCACTTGAAAATTTGCTGTACTAAGTTTTTAAAAGCACTCTTCATAGGATTTTGAGACTGAAGAAATAAAACTTTAATTCTTCAAGAAAATCACAATTAGCTTTAATCTGCATTATACGAATATTTTGACAATTAGTAACAAAATAAATAACAAAACAAAAAAAAATTACTATCAAATAATACCTTATATTATGGTGCATCATAGAATACCTTATCTTCCTGCAGTTGTTGATATTAATGAATTAAAGTTCGGTAAAACAAAGCTAAACTTGTTATCAACTGATGCTTGCATTAATATATATATATGTTGTAGGCCAGTAGTAAGATGTTAGGATTCTCACATAGCCATAAGCAGACTTGGTAAATGTTATTCATTCTGCTATAAGGTGTGGGAGTTTTATTGATAGCATCATTTTGACGATTAGTAAGAGTTTCTTGTATTTTATCCATTTTCGTTTTCTTTAAACTTCGTTTAGCAGAAGTTATTGTCAGATTTAAATCATTATTAATAGGCTCTTTTTCTTTCAGTAAAAGCAGTCACTAGATTTTATATTAGTTTTGAACAAATCGGATTAGATCAGGTAATTGGCCTGATAAGATCTAATCAGATCAGATATAAAATTGATCTGAATTAAGATCTGATCTATATATATATCAAGTCAATTATAAAAATAATATAATGAAAAAAAAAATTTTTTAAAAAAATATAAAAAAATGTTGATATATATATTGATACATAGTAAAATTTTCAAATAAAAAAAAACAAAAAGATTACTAATATAATAATATTTTTTTATAATTCCTATTGTAATTACAAAATTTAAAATTAAAAGTTGTAATAAGTTTACAAGTTAGGTAACTGCTAATATAATTGTGAAAAATGTGTATAACTTTACAATTATTAATAATAATTTATATGCACATATTTTTGAACCTGTTAAACAAATTTATTTATATAACTAAAGTTATTTTTTTAATCAAAATACTTTAATTACTCTTTAAATTCACTGTACAAAAAAAAATAAATAATAAAAATTTTGTAAGATAATACAATTATGAAAAACATAAATTTACAATCATTAATCCAATTATAAAAATTTATATTCACATATTTTCAAACCTATTAAATAACTTATGTAACTAAAGTCGATTTTATTTAATTAAAATGCTTAAATTACTCTTTAAAGTCATTGAACTCACTGAACAGATAAAAATATTTTTGAGATAATATAATTATAAACAATGTTTATATTTTACAACCATTAATTCAATTATAATAAAAATTTATATATATATATTTTTGAATCTGCTAAACAATTTACTTATATAAATAAAGTTAGTTTTCTTTAATTAAAGTTCTCAAATAACTCTTTGAAGTTATTGAATAAATAAAAAAAATTAAAATTAATTTATTGGTTAATATAATTATAAAAAATGTTTATAATTTAAAATTTAACTTTTGATTATCCTTTAGATTATAGGGTTTTGTAGGCAAATTTACCTGCTTATTTACTATAAATTTTCTTCTGATTTACTTTTATAAATAATTAATATTTTTAAGATTTTTTTTTTTAAATTAATTATATAAATATATAATATATTATAATAAGTTTTATCTTTTAATTATATAATAAAAAAAATTAATTTTAAAAAATTTTATAAATAATCTATAATAAACTTTTTAGAATTTAATTTTAACTATATTAATTATAATAGAGTATTATAAAATTACTTATAAAGAAATCTTTTATTATTATAATTTTATAATTTATTAAAAATTTTATGACTTTAATTAATGATAAAGTGAATTGTCAATTTATTTAGAATCATATTCAATATAATGCATATATTCAAGCTGATATAAGTGAAATCAATGCCCTTTTGATTTTGTTCTTGTTTGATAATAGAGTTTTTTAAAGAGCCTATTTTATTATCAATAAAAACAAGTTTATTTTCAATGTTATCTAATTTTTCTTGAAGAATTTGAGAATATCAGTAGTATTTAGAATAACTTTATTTTGATTATTAATTATTATTTTTATTCTGATTAATATTGTATGAGCTTTAAAAACATTTTGAATAATTTGAGAGAAAGATTTGTAGATTTTAATCCATTTAATTAATAATAAAAAATTTAAATTACTATGATTTTATTTTTTAATGTATTTGATATATTTTATTACAACTGATATACAGTGAACTCTTGATATAACGAATTCTAGGATCTGGATATCAACTTCGTTATAAGCTTATAATGAATTTTTTAAAGAATTTAATTGGCTAGTTCACTATAGTAAAGGTAATTTTAATATATTTGATTTAAAAATTTGCTATATCAAGGGTTCGCTATATCAAGGTTTGACTGTATGGGTTAAAGGATCTTAATTATTGGATTGAAAAGAGTGTAAGTGTTTATATTACTTTAGCTTAAAATAATTAGAACCTTAATTTTGAATGTTAAAAAAATGGATTTCATGAATAATATAAGTGAATTCAAGTTTTATTAAAGAAATCCTTATTCCTTAAATGATAATTATTTTTATTTAAAAATTTTACATAGAAACTTATTAAATTTCTAATTAAAATACATATAAAATTTATTATAAATCTATTATTTTTAAATAAAATTTATATTTTTAATAATTAAAATATTAAATATATAAATTTTATTTAAAAATAAATAATATTTAAATATATAAATGTTTTAAATATAAATTTTTATAGTTTATAAAGTATTTTTAATAATATAATAATAAATAAAAATTGAAAAAATTTTTAACTTTTATAAAGAAAAACACTTTTATTAAATAATATTCAAAACTTTGATCTTAAATTAATGCAAAAGTTACTAATTAATGTAATTTTTTTTTGATTTTACTTAAATTTTATTAATAAAACTATTATTTGTTTGATAACTAATTTTAATATATTTAAAATTAATATAATTAGTAAGTAAAATTCCTTTAAAATTTGAAAGGAAAACCATTAAAGGAGTAATATCAAATTCAAATTTATTGTGTTAATATTTAAGGCATCTTATGATGGAATGTTTGTTATAAGTATAAATCCCTTCACCTAACATTGAATTAACATTTTTTATTTGCTTATTTACTAGAAGATGCCAAATCATATAATTCCAAATTAATGATATACAAATATCAATAATCATGAATTAATAATATTATTAATCTAAAAGATTATCTGTTCCTAAAATTTTAAAAGAAAAATTGACTTAAACAGATTTTAATATAGAAGTTACATTAGGAAAACTTGTACTTGTAGTAACATCCTAATTAATAAAAATCAAAAAGTAATCAAAATATAAAATTACCATTGTTTTAATTTTATCTCAAATTCTTTGGAAAAAGATGTAATATTTAACTGATTTTTCATCTTTGTCAAATCCATTTAATGAACTAATCAAGAAAGTAAAATATTTACTATCCATAATGTATAAAAGCGTAGAATAATATGCTCTTTCATTTATTATTATCAAACATATTCGTATTTTACGTAAAACCTTATTAGAAAATCAATTTAAACATTGCATGTTAGCATAAATAATTTCATGATTACAACATATGTAATGTCACGTACTATACTATTCTACCAGAAATATTCACCCTAGTCAACACTGTCCTAGTAGGACACTATTATTTAACTTACAGTATAACGGGATGTTCTGCCGTTTAAAGAATTCTCAAAATGCTTGTGGCAATTGTAAAATGTCTATGATAAATAGAAGGAATCATTTTTATTGTGCATCTATTAGGACCTATGGGACCTCAAATTACGCATGACGTTGTAATTACGTGTTCATTCTCATCCAATCATCGGTCCTAATTGGGATATGTCAGTCCGTCCACGGTCCTGACAACCAATCCTTAAAACTGTGGATGGACTGTTTTATAAAACCGGTTTACATGACTCAGTCCAGAACCGGTTCATATATATTTGAAACTTTATTATTTACTCAAATTTATCATTATAAAATATAAAAAATAATAAAAAAATAGATGGGATTCTCAACAAAATTAAAAAAAAAATTAAAAAATTTCACACGATCAACAGTAGTCTTGTATCAAAAATGGTAATTTCGAAATATACTCAAAATTTGTTTTGTTGGATGTATAATATAAGCCGGTTCATTAACCGATTTGCGGACCGGTCTTGCCACTAGCCCATCCCTAGTCCTAACATCGTCATCATATAAAATACTGCTGACTTAGACATTAGTCTAACGGGATAGCATCGAGTCTGAATAACTTAAATTTCCCATCTAGGATAACGATATTTTAAAATTCATCTAAAAACCTATAAAATATAGATGATGTCAATGTGGATAACTCTTCAGTTCTGTCTAAGTATACGGAAGATAAACCGTATGCCTTTTATACTTCTTTCGCCTCCTCTGAAACTTTTATAACACTTGAATAATATAATACTATGTGCTTTTTATGACAATATAATCGATCGCGTCTCAGTTTAAATGCCATCTTTGAATGACTTAGAATTTGTTTAAAAATCTATTTTTTTTTTTTTTTATGAAAAACGTATTGGATATTGCTTATCTATATAGTTTTTACTAAGTTTACATAAATTATGTTGGAAATGTAATTATAATAGTTTAATCATTAAATAATATATATATATTTTTTTTTAATATTTTAATAGGTTTTTCCAACTAATCAAACTTGCATCTTTTCATGAAAATAACTTTTAAACCCATAAATATCCAAAAAAAAAATGGAATCGTATCAAAATTTTTCGTATACGTGACCATGCTAGAAAGACACAGAAATCAATAAAGAGACTAAAAATTAAAGACGCCATCCAAAAATAAAAATACACAGCTGCTGCAGTTATTCATTCATATTAGTAATAATATGATGGAAGAGCATATTAATCACCTCAAGAGTCATCGAACGCCTTGAATATTATCGTTAGTGAAATCTTCAAATTATCATCGTGAAAACAATTTTGTTTAAAAAATAAGATAATAAATATGGCATTGACAAAAAAAATTATCGAAATAATAAATTCTAGAAAAAATTTTTATCATAATAATTATAAAAATGAAGAAAAAAAAATTAAAGTTTGCGGGACGAAATGGTATACATTAAAAAGTTTAAAAAAAAAATGTATCAGTAAAAATTTCAATCAATATACAATAATATTGTACATAATTTTTATATACATTTAATTTTCTTTAACATTTAAAATTAATTTTTTATTATTTATTAATTATTAAAAAAATGCGCATAAATAACGTAGCAAATTAAATAAATAAAACTTTACAAAAAAAAGAAATCTAAATACGCGTCACTTAATTTAAAGGAGTGTTTATTATTAAGGTATTTGAAACTTAAAGAATCGTTATTTACTGAAGTTTCCAGCTGGCCGGGGCACCATCTTCTGCCCAGCAGAATCCAGGATATTCCCCTTAATACTCCCAATGAATTGTTGGATTAAGCGGAAAAAAATTCGATAAAGCATCTTGCATTACAAGTTTATTGAGATCGCTACAAAATTTTAATAACCAATTTCTTTCCATAAATTTACCAAATCAAGATGAATTACCTAAAACAGCAGTAGCAGCAGGATCTGGATACTCTTCTTGCCTGGCTGTATCAGGGTATTCTTGTCTTGCCCCGCTAAAATCCAGGATAATCTTCTTGACCGGCTGTATTCCTCTTGTCCAGCCATCCCGGATAAAGCTTTCTTTACGGAGAATTTTACTCCACTTGCTGGATATTCTTGCTATCATCCAGAAGTTTATCGGATGACAAAAGTCAATAATAATACATATAATCATATTTTTATATTTGACCTTCTCTGAAGTTTTATTATTGAGTTTGTGCGTTATTTTATTTGAACAACGCGCAATTTGAAAATTTTTGTGAAATTGAAAGGGTTTACAATGTTACTTTATTATTTTTTTATGATGAAATTTTTCTTGTGTTATAAACCGATGAAAGGGTTTTCAAAGGTTCTTTTATAATGAAAATGTTTTTATTATTTGTCATAAAAATTAATTAATCTTATTAATTAAGTGTAACATTAATTTAAAAATCCGTAAAGTTTTCTAATAATAATGAATTGATTCACAAAAAAAAATAGGAAAAAAAAAATGAGGGTTCGTTTGACCAAAATAGATTCTTTGTAATTACAATAGACCGTCTTCATATGGAAGATGAATAGATATTTCAAGTTATAGCGATTTCTTACAACTGTTGGCTGATTTTTTCCCTTTTAAGAAAATTTTATGACCACTTTTGTATAGTTTAGTGTAATATTTAAGACTAACTGACTGTACGCAACACTTTATACTACATTAAATATGATTGGGTCAAAAATGATTTCGTTTCTTATTTTTTCTCACTTTTAAAATTTAAAAAGAATATTTTTCAAGCACTTATAAAGAAGAATGTTTAAATAATAAATCAATAAAATGGGTTTTTTTTAATATAATTGTTAATGAAATTTATTTGAATTTATGTCAAACTAATGTCAAAATTAATAATTACATTCTACTAAATACTTTATTAACACTGTGAAATTATTTACGCGGTTAGTATAGTTATCGTAATCATCATTTGACAAAATGATTTGTCTCTCATTTGAAGGCACGGATTTGTTTGTATCAATCAGAAAAAGTCATCTTTTGATGGAATGTTTTCATAGAAAACAGCCGCCATATGAAACACCAAAATTATTCATGTTCCAAGCATATACTGCATAAGGTTAAGGAACAAATGACATTTTTTTTTTTATCATTGAAACTTTAAATTCACAATGACAAGAATGGTAATAATTTTCGGAAACATGCATGTTTGTTTGACATCAAATGTCGTATAATCAAATTTAGTTTAATAAAGTGTAGATACATAATATGGGCATATATAAGTTGTCGCACTATAATCCAGGTTTACTCTTAAGATATGTAAATACATATATGAGATTCAATTAAACATAAAAAAAATTTTTTTCTTTATATTACGAACATACAGTATATTAGGAATAATATAATTCGGAGCGATAATTTTCTATATACGTACTCAAGTACTCACAATATTTTAATGTTACATTTTTACAAAAATCAAATTTATATCAATGAACCTTAAAAAAAAATGTCGAAAATAAAAAAATATTCATTTTTTTCTCATGAAAGTCGCAACAATAAATAAATTGAAGGCACAAATAATAAACTTAAACAACGAATATTTTTAATGAACTTAATGAACTTATCGCGTGAAACATTAAAGATTCATTTTTTATTCCAAACAAGAATCATAACGAAATTTACCATTTGAAAAACTCCTTAAAAATATTGTTCTTGTTAATGGATTAAATAAGTAAAATATGCTAAACAAAATATCTTGTGTCATATTACTCTCATTTTTTCGTAAAACTATAAAATAAATCACTTTAAAAAAAAAATTTTATATTAAGATTACATAAAAGGTTTGATTTATCAGCCTCTAAAAAAAAATTATGACATGTTTCCAATTCGTTTTCGTTTCTTATTCATAAGACAATAATCATAAGAATTTCAAGACTTGATTAAACTTTTCGTTATCTGTCTCCAAAATAAAAAAAATAATCCACACCATAATAAAAACAAAGAATTTCATAAATTAAAGTAACTATTTTCTCCCTTTACTATTATCTTACTATGTTCCAAGATTTCTGTTGTTATTTTATTATTAATGTTATTTGGTTTATTTTAATGTCCATTAAAAAAAGTGTTAAAACGGTTTGTGAAAATAAAACTGTTTCCAACCTCTAATTATTATAATATAATAAATTCAAGTAATTTCGCGGCAATTTTAAGTTTTTTTTTTTTTTTAAATAAACTCAAAACTTTGCAATGAAAAAAATCGCTATCGTTGATTTATACGCTTTTCGATTTTGAAAAGAAATAACCAATCAAATCTTAAATACAATTTTGAATTGACAGACCTGATGTACAACATAAATAATCAGATCTCAATTAAAAACAAATCAAAGCGATCTGTTCATCGTCAGATTTTTTTGTTTAACTATTGATCGATAGGCTTTGCAGGTTCGTCATTAAACTTTTTTTATATTATTATAGTCTTATAAAGTGTCAGGTTATCAGCATTACCATTGCATTTTTTTTGGAAGGAATAATTCGGTATTATCCTATCAAACCATCATTATTTAAAAGTCGTAAAGTTTTGAATTATATTTAGTGTATGTTAATTTACATCTTTATAATTGGTAAAGATCGGCAAAGATGTAAGTTATTCATTGGAATTTTGAATATAATTTTAAAGAGTTTTATTATTTTTTGGTAAATCATAGAAGCGCAAAATCAGAAAATAAAATGTAATTTAAATACTTTCTGAAAAATAAAGTAAAAAAATAAAATAATTTGATAAAATATTCGCAGTCATCAACAAATTTAACCAAATTGACCTCATATTTTCGGGATTTTTGCATGCTTTAATAATATGATATGTTCAGGCCTACAAGAAATCGCATCATTATAGAGTAGTCATTACAATAAACTTTTAATCCTTGAAGCAGTCTATAATCTCGTTTCTAAAACGTTGATTAACTACCTGATTCACAATTACTTCATGCTGAAGCGACCTTGACTTAAGAAAGTTGAAGACATTTATTGTTTTATAACATCTTTCAGGTTTACATGCCTCATCAAATCATTCGGAGATCAATGAATATGTTGATAAATCACTTCGAATCTTAGTGAAAGCATCCCATAAAATTTCTCCTCTTATATCTAATATACTATGTTCAAATCTTTGAAAAGATTTATCATAATACATTTATTTAATTCAAATCCTGCATCTATAAGTCTTATAAAGTGGGAGAAATCCAATTTTCTGGAATGTGTCGCGGAAAAATTAAGTAAAATCCCTCATGAAAGACGAATTCATTATAATCACTAAAAATCTCTTCATATCCTATTTTTTCCCATAGATTAACGAGAATTGGTTGATTTATAATTGTCTTCATAATCTTTTTGATTTGAATTTCATTTTCGTAGCCATCGTTATCATCTTGGTCATTGTTAAATCTTTCTTGTGATTTGAATTTATGCGGAATTGGTATGAACTTAAACTTTAAAATCAAATCTTCAATTTGTTTTAAATTATTATTTAAATCTTCAGGAGCTTCGTGATGGCCTTTATCATCAAACGATTTATCAATTGACAATGATGCTCTTTTCCTATTTCCCACGTCATCAACCGATTCAATGGGTACTGATCGTTTCTTTGATCGTTTCTTTCCTAACATGCCATCAACTTTTCTTGGGTTTAGTAAGTTAAGTGGGTTTAATAGTGGGTTTCGTGGGTTTAAATAATGATTTCGGTGTGATCTCAGTGATTTCGGCAGGTTTTATTTGGAATTTCCTGAAATTTATTTAATCGTATTAACAATATTAACAAATATTATTATTATTGTTTTAAATCATTAATATATATTCACAACTTACATTTCAAGATTCGATAAAACAATCTAGATCCTCTCTTTCCACATCTGTTGGGGTGTTTTACTCCTAAGTTCTTTAAGTTCTCGTTCTTTCGCGGCTTTTATCTTTAGGATTTTTTACTCCTAATACGAAAAAGTTATACTTTCATAAATATATCCTTAAATATTACAGAATAAAACAATGTTTTTATATCAATGAGAAAACTCACGTTTTCTAAACAGAAATCCCGCGCTTGAAATTTCATCAAATATTCATATCCATGATCTTTATGAGAATCATTATGAGGATTATTAATGTCAAGAGCAACTGCATCCTTATCAGCTGCATCCTTATCGATATCATCATCGTCCGTAATTCTATCAAAGTCATTGGACTCTAATAATTCCAACATCGCAATTTTCGGAAGACCTTCATAATGAAGTGTATTGTTAGCCTTCATTTCAATAAATTTGGCTTGATTCTGGAGTCTTTTGACTTCTAATTCAAGTTTTTGTATCATGTGACCCTAAATTTTTTTTAAAATTATAAATTTAGAATCCTACTCTACAAATTAAATTAATATTAATTAATACGAACCTTCCTCTTATAATAGTAATCGAGGCTGTATGTGTAAAATTCCTTTAGAGTTTGGGAGAATCATATTTTCGAATACGACCTTCGCCATCAATACACATCATGTTCGACGCTCTGATGGGCGAGCTCATCATGAATCGTTTTTCAAGTCCTTCTTCTAAAGAATCTTTTAGACTTTCTGAAGATAATTTGGCCGTAAAATCTATGGTAGTTGTCATAAGTTGTTCTTTGTAATCCTATTTATAAAAAAATAAATTAAAAATTCTAAGGCAGATTAAATACATAAAAGATTACGTACGAGGATCCATGGCATTTTGTCCGTTTCAGATATACATTTCTCAAGTTGTTCTTTATCACCCTTCCTTCGTACACTAATTAAAAAAAAATGTTAAATGATTATTGGAACTCAAAAGATTATTGCATTAGCGTGATTGAATGGTTTCATACCTTTACAATTGATGTGATAAATTCCCATAAGAAACCGGAATTTTTAGCAAGGAGGAAAAGAAATGATCCAAGAAATTGATAATCAATCCTTTTATATGGCTTCCATCGTGATCTTGATCCGTCATGATCATCAGATGCCCATATCGTAATTCATTTGTTGATGTATATTCTTTTCCTTGATTCAGTCCAAGGATTTGCTTTATTTGTTGAATTTCTGTATTATTCATGATCTGAGAGTGGTTACATTCACGAACATTTAAAAGTTTTCCCCGGGGTGGGAAAATTCCATAATTATCACGTCCAACTCGGCAACCGCCAAAGTTTTTGCAGAGTCACATTCGGTTATATTAAAGTGTAGTCCTTAGCATTTCTACCAGTCTTGTTTGCATCTTCCAATTTCGCGATCCCAGAGATCCTATTAAAAATATATCAAAATCTAATTAACAAAAAAAAAAATTTTTTTTTTATCACTCCCCTACCGACAATTTATTTACTTTTTAATCTGTTTTCCATCTGTCTCTTTAATTCTTTATTTTTTTTATCATTATCATCATCCAGAAATGTGATCAACGATACCACATTTGAGAACTAATAAATAGGAGAAAAATCAAAGGATCACATTAAAAATTTTTTTTTTTTTTTTTTTTGCAAAAGTAATGACATTTCTATAAATAGTAAAATTACTTACATTTATTAAAAAAGCGTCACTTGGAACACAAATAGATCCAAATGATGTGGCTTTTGATGTAAGATTTTCTTTCGTCTGGGAATCGAAGGATGGGTTTTCAATCAAACAGTTGATGAATATCCACATGAATTTTTGATTTGATTATTTGTAATGTTTGCATCCTTCTTGATTTTGTCTGATGTCATGATTCTTTCACCAAGTTGATCTGCGATGTAGTTAACGTGGGTACCTCCTTTGTAGTACATATTTTGTTTACGAAGCGTGTCTATTATTTATGAATGAAAAGTACACGAATAATGTTAACCATTTCATGCAAGATCAAGTATTAAAAAAAGAAGAAAAAAAAAGCTTACATGATGGAATTGAGAATCAGGAGAAGGAAGGACTCCAATTTCCCATCGTTCACCACATTTATCATATATTAATGAAGATTTTAAGTCTTCGCGATCAATCACATACGATTGTATGTATTCTTTAAAATTATTGATGTCTATCCGTTCATCATTCAAGAACACTTCAACATTCTCAACACTCCCCGCCAAGTCGTATACAAGCTTTTTTATGAGGGCAATTATGTCATCATCAAACCGACTCATTTTGAATTTTCGAAAATCCGGCTTAAATTTAACCAGAGTGTAATCGCCTTTAAAATCAAAATCCACCTCTTTTTTATACAAAGGGTGATCGGTGATAATTGGTTGTACGATTTCTTTCATGTTATTCCTGAAAGTTTGGCGATATATTTTGCCATTTGAAGATGTTTCCAAAATGAACTCCGAACTGTATATGTTCGTTAATTTAGCATTACGACACCGGAACTTTCTTTAAATCATCATTAAAATGTGATGTAAAAAGTTGCGAAAAGGTATGTAGACATTTACATCTTCGTGAATTTCAATAGGGATTCCTTTTCCGTAATTAAAGACAGAAATTTGGCCTCCTTCTTTGTCAATATCAACTTTAATAACATTCATTTCTTGGTCTCGAACCTGAAAATTAACGAAAAATTATAAATAATCAACACAAAACTTAACGACAAAAGTAACTAACAGAACGTTTCCAATATGCATACCTTATTGTCAGCAGCATTTACAAAGATTTCATCCACTATTTTATATAATGCAGGTACGTAGGTAATCTCTATGAGAAGAAAGGTACATGAGATATGAGATTACACATTTGTAATACGTGTTTGAAACCATTTATAAACTTCAAAAAAAATTTTACCTTGGAACAAGCCTTTCCGTTTCAGAATCAATAACCAACATCTTTTCTTTTAAAGAGTCAAGGGAACCAACATAAGAGTCGGGTCTCAACATGACGTGTTCTATTGGTAGTACTCTTATATATTTTTCCGTTGATTTTTCTTTTTCAGTGTTGGCTTCGCTTGACGAGGCTACAACTTCTTCAACAGCTGGTTTGGTGTTGTGTTAGGTGTTTGTTGCTTACAATGTGAGTTGGGGTTTTCGAAACAGTCATTTTGTGAAGAAATAAATTGTTTTTTATTTTTTTTTTTTGAGAAGTTTTATTTCGAAGAATAGTGTGAAAAGTATAAATTTTGTATATTTGATCAAAAATTTTCTTATCATTTCAATGTAGGAGGAGATCATAGATCTGCAAATAAATTAAACTGAAAGTGTTTAGTGTTTATGGATATCTTCATTGAACATCTGTAACACAAATATTTATATAGTGTTTACAATAGCAAATATATAATTTTCATTAAATTTAACTAAAATATTTATAAACAAATAATATAAAATTAATTTAAGCATTAAGTATTTATCTACCACGTGAAATTTTCCCAACCAAAAATGATATCCTATATACAAACACCGACATAAAATTTAAAT